CCCCCCCAAACCCTCACCGTTTTGCCCCCTCGCCGATAAAAAAATTCTGCTCCAAGTCGAGAGCAGATGCCGCTCCACAATCAGACAAACTCCCCCCCCCCAAATCCACTTCCCCGAGACGAAAGAAACCAAAAATCAACGATTAATTTTCCAAAAAATGATATTACCTCACCTCCGGCTGTTCCACCGTCCTTTTATTAACTCAGACGCCCCCCTGAGGGTTTGTCCACTGGACTAAAAAAAATGTTATTCCCCCAATTATTTTTGTTATTCGTCCACTCTCGTCCACTGATTGTCCTCCGGGTGTGACGACGTCTGTCTGTCACCCAGTGAAACACGACAAATAATCACGATAACTTCATGCACTTGTGGAAAATAAACACATCGAGTTTTAATTAATTTCACGAGTAACAAAACGAGACGACCGGTTCAGAATGTCAGTTGTCTACTGCCCTGCGGTCTCCTTGACTACGGCATCACTGACCGAATCACCGACCCCTGAAATCCGTAAAACACGAACTATCCTCTTCATTTCGTGCGCTATCGCGCGCCGCGTAGGCGAAACGACACGAAAAAATGCACAATTTTTTCGAGACAACGAGAGCTTTTTCCGGGGATTATTTATAAAATTATTACCGAGGTCATTTCTGTCACTGGGGAACTATTCTCTCGGCAGACATGTTTGTATCACTGCGCGATTATACGTTCACCTGGAGCTTTTATGCGCCCGCATTGACGACGTTGTCCAGGAAATGCAGGAAACGGAAATGCAATCGTCGGGGTAAATTGGTGGAGAGGAAGCTGTTGGGGTGGTCGGGATTAATCGAGCGCTCCGATTATTATTTGAGAGATGATTTTTTGTATTTTGGGGAGAGGATGGAGATGGGCGGAGATTGGAGCGAACGGTTGGTGGCGCTGATGACGGTTTTTTAAGGTTTTTTTTATTTCGATTGATTGTTTTTGGAGTCGGGAGTTTTTCGAGGGCTTTTTTGTTTATTTGTTCAGGACGGTGATTTTTTTGGAAGTGGCTGCTATTGAACTTTTCTGGAGAAATTTGATGATTTTTTGATGATTTTTTCGGGTTTGATTGATTGTTTTTAATTGAGATTTTTGTGAGGGATTTTTTTAGTCAATTTGTGAGAGGATTTTTTGTGGATAATAGTTGGATTGAAGAAATGGGGGAATATATTTATGAACATATTTATTTTTTTGTGGAATATGTTTAATGGATTTTTCCAGAGAAATTAAATAATTTTTCAATGATTTTTTTACTTCGATTGATTTTTTTTTGGAATTGCAAATTTTTTTTAGCATTTTTTTTTTGTTTAGGCAGATGGTTTTTTATGGAATATTTTCTATTGAACCTTTCTGGAGGAATCGAATGATTTTTGAATCATTTTTCTATTTTGATTGATTGTGGTTTTAATTAAGATTTTTGTGAAGGATTTTTTTCTTCAATTTATGAGACGAATTTTTTATGGAAAATATTTGGATTGAAGAAATATGGGAATATGAATATATTTTTTTTGTGGAATATGTTTAACGGATTTTTCCAGAGAAATTAAATAATTTTTCAATGATTTTTTTACTTCGATTGATTTTTTTTTGGAATCGCAAATTTTTTTAAAGGATTTTTTCAAATTTATGCCGACGATTTTTTATGGAATATTTTCTATTGAGCCTTTCTAGAGGAATCGAATGATTTTTTAATCATTTTTCTATTTTGATTGTGTTTTTAATTAATTTTTAATTTTAATTTTTGTGAAGGATTTTTTCCTTCAATTTATGAGAGGATTTTTTATGGAAAATATTTGGATTGAAGAAATATGGGAATATGAATATTTTTTTTTGTGGAATATGTTTAACGGATTTTTCCAGAGAAATTAAATAATTTTTCAATGATTTTTTTACTTCGATTGATTTTTTTTTGAATCGCAAATTTTTTTTGAGAATTTTTTTTATTTATGCTGACGATTTTTTATAGAATATTTTCTATTGAGCCTTTCTAGAGGAATCGAATGATTTTTTAATCATTTTTCTATTTTGATTGATTGTGTTTTTAATTAAGATTTTTGTGAAGGATTTGTTTCTTCAATTTATAAGAGAATTTTGATTGTTTTTTTTTTGGAATCGAGATTTTTGAGAAGTATTTTCTTCTTTGATTTATACCCAACATTCTTTTATGTAAAATATGTTGAGAGGAGGCGTTGTATGGGAAGAATCTATTAATTTTTCCGATGAAATATTTTTTATTGAACAGTTATCGAGAAATTTTATAATTTCTTCATGCTGACGATTTTTCAAACCCATTTTTCACATTTTCATAGAAAAAATATGGAGGGATGAATCTATTTATTCGCAAAAATTGTCAGCAATTTCAATGAAAATTGAATTATCTCTCCGTTTGAAATTGAACAATTGAGAATTAAGCCACCCGTTAATTTAAAGAGGGAATTGCTCGGAGCAAATTAAATTTAAATTTAATTTTCTCCAATTTAATTTGCTTCAATTCCCTCTCGTAAACAGTCATTCACAGACTCTCCATCCCCAAATAAATAAACAATGATTTTTTTTAGTCCTCGGCCTGACGGAGCAGAATATCCTGACGAATTTTCTCGTAAATCTTCTCCACCTTTCCCTTTAAATCGTTACGTAATCCACAAACGTCGGTCATTTTACTGTTCCCCCACCCCTCGGTTGAGTTCTACGCCAAACACAAACGTTCTGTCAACGGTTCACAGTTCTACTTATTGTGCTATGGCCCACTTTGGATTTATCCAGTGAAGTGTTTTATGTTAATTAAATTGATTTAACGTTATCAATTGCCGATTGACAATTGCAAATATGATGACACCGAGTGAGCACGTGAGTGAGGATTTTGGTGTTAAAATTGGTGAAAATAACTCAAAGATCCCTGAGGTCGGTACCATTTCACCAGGAACCATCAAACATGAGTCTCGTGAGCCTGACTTTATGTCAAATTACAGCACTTCAGTGGAGGGCTCAGTGGTAATTACAGAAAACAGTACTTTCAGGGGGAAAAATGAGGTAAAAGGGACCCTCTTAAATCATCGATATCTCGTGATCGAGTGACACGATTGGGTCGAGTCAGGGCTCATTTTGAAGCCTGAAAAAATATCTTCAAAATGAAGAAAAAAAATTGAAATTTCACTCTGCCGATCCGCAGTTATCGATGATTAAAGATGCAATTTTATTTGTCTCTTGTCTATTCGTGTTTATTTTGGCGTTTTGTTCATTTATTTTTGTTTAATTTTCGGAAATTGTTGTTGAATGCTCATTGGGATATGTTTTCTGGGCTATTCGAAGGTTGCATCGCCATCAATCGACAGTTTCTCAACCCTTCCCGAGCAAGACTCGTCGGATTTTCAACTGGATAACAGGGATTTGCAAGTTAAGATTGATAATCCACAGAAACACTTGGAGACGTTGGAGACGTACATAACGTTTCGCATCACGACGCGGGTAATTATGGGTCATCAGAGGATTTCAGTAACGAAATGTGGTAAAACTACTCAAGTCGACTTGGCTCTTGGCTGAGTTTTCGCGGAATATCTCCGGATCTAAGGGAGATAGACAAATTTTCGTGATAACGAAAATTAAAGAGTGGAGTGAGATCTGCAAAAAAGGTCATTACAGAAATTTCGATATCTGCCTTAGATTCCGAGATATTCACTGAATACTGGTCAATACTCAAAAACACTTTGAACCGTTTTACCGTTTTGCTCATTTTTTTTTATTGTTGGAGGGTTTCGGGAATTTTATTCAATTGTCTTTTTGCACAGACGACGAGGCCTGAGTTCGAGGAGTCGGAGTATGTTGTTCGCAGACGGTATAATGACTTTATTTGGCTGAGACAGAAGCTGGTAGAGACATATCCGTCTCACATAATTCCTGTAAGAATGCCTTCAATTATTACGCATAATTCATTGAATTATCTTCGATTCATGTTTGTACGATCGAATGAAACAATGTCTATCCAACAATGGGTCACCCCCCAACATTAATTACTGCATTTTATCGCTTTATGTGCAAAATTATGTTGAAATCAGTAGTTAAGCGGTAGTTTTCAATGAATATCTCCGAATCTAAGGCAGATAGCAAAATTTCTGTGATAACCTTTTTTGTAACTCTCGATTCGCTCTACAAAAAATGTCATTACGAAAATTTCGCTATTCCACTGGATTCGGAGATATTCCTAAATTACCGCTTCGCTACTGTAATTGTTCAGTTAATTTTAAAAAAAAAAATGAAATCGTCTGAATAATTCATTGAATTATCTTCGATTCATGTTTGTACGATCGAATGAAACAATGTCTATCCAACAATGGGTCACCCCCCAACATTAATTACTGCATTTTTTGCCTTAATGTGCAAAATTATGTTGAAATCAGTAGTTGAGCGGTAGTTTTCAATGAATATCTCCGAATCTAAGGCAGATAGCAAAATTTTTGTAATAATCTTTTTTGTAGCTCTCGATTCCCTCTACAAAAAATGTCATTACGAAAATTTCGCTATTCCACTGGATTCGGAGATATTCCTAAATTACCGCTTCGCTACTGTAATTGTTCAGTTAATTTTTTTTAAAAAAATGAAATCGTCTGAATAATTCATTGAATTATCTTCGATTCATGTTTGTACGATCGAATGAAACAATGTCTATCCAACAATGGGTCACCCCCCAACATTAATTACTGCATTTTTTGCCTTAATGTGCAAAATTATGTTGAAATCAGTAGTTGAGCGGTAGTTTTCAATGAATATCTCCGAATCTAAGGCAGATAGAAAAATTTCTGTGATAACCTTTTTTGTAACTCTCGATTCGCTCTACAAAAAATGTCATTACGAAAATTTCGCTATTCCACTGGATTCGGAGATATTCCTAAATTACCGCTTCGCTACTGTAATTATTCAGTTAATTATTTTAAAAAAATTGAAAACGTCTGAATTAGGAAATTTTTTGCCCTTCAGCCAATGCCAGGCAAGCACTCCCTCCTGGCTCAGCTCGACCGCTACTCCAAAGAGTTTATAATCGCCAGAATGAAGCTCTTGCATGTGTTTTTGAATCGCATAGTCAATCATCCGATTCTGAGTTGCGACAAAGAATTGAAGGGTTTTTTGACAGCTAAACCAGCTGAATTTTCCATAATCAGGAAGAATCGTGGAAATGTCATGGGAAAAGTGACTGATTCATTTCAAAATATTGCCAGTACTTACTCGATGAAACAGAAGAATCCGGAGTTTGAGAGGACCCGGGATTATTGCAATGCATTGTGCGAAAAATTGTCTCACATCGATAAGATCAATCATCGAATACACAAGGAGAGGCAAGGTAACACATTCCAAAAGAAAATTAGCGAAGTGGTAAAACTATTCAAGTGGATTTAATATCTCCCAGTTGAGTTTTTGAGGAATATTTCCGAATCTAAGGGAGATAGCGAAATTTTTGTAATTACGTTTGTTGTAGCTCTCAATCGGCTCTACAAAAAAGGTTATGACAATAATTTTGATATCTCCCTTAGGTTCCGAGATATTCATTGAACACTGGTCAATAGTCAAAATCATCGTTAAAATCAAATCAACCAATACAGCTAGCGTAATCAGCTTTTAACTTCGACTTAATGGCACTGAAACAAACATTTGTTGAAGATAAAAAATTTTTGATTTTCTTCGTAGTTTTTTTCCCATTGAATTTTCTATTTGAAATTCAATCAACAAATTAAATCGTAAATAATCTGTGAAAAAAAAATCGAGGAAAAATTTTCATCTTCAACTGAAGAAAAGAAATGAAAAAATTGGAAAATTCTATTGAAAAAATGAATAATAAAATGGTAAAATGTGATTTTTTTCTTCTGTTGAATTTTTTCTCTTGAAATTCTTGAAATTCAATTAACAAATTAAATGAAAAATAATTTATAAAAAAAATTAATGGATTTTTTATCGTCAACAGAAGAGGAGAAATAAGAAAAATGTGAAAACTGTTTAAAAATAAGAAGAATGAAGTGATAAAATGTGAAATAATATTATGGAAAATTCATTTTGCATTCAGAATATGTAATCGAGCTTCATCAGATGCACCCTATATTCACCCAATGGTCGGCATCTGAACCAGAATTGTCACCACTTCTGTTGACAATTGCTCGAGCCATTGAAGCTAATGGGGCAGCTCATCACAAATTCATGGATAATGTATCGGCTAGTGAACGAGAGTACATCGCTTATGTGGAATCTGTCAAGGATGCACTGACGAGGCGAGATAACATGCAGCTAGAGTATGAGTTGACGATGGATGAATTGTCGAAGAGGAGATATGAGAAAGATCAGGTAGAAATTGTCAATGTCTTGTTCAATTTTAAACACAGAATTTTAAAAACTGAATTTTACATTTTGTTCAGGTTCAATTATCTCGTTAAATAATGGATCTAATGCAAAATGTCATCGAACATTTTTTCTTGGAAATATCATAAGCTTCAAAAAAGTATTATGACATTTCGCTGTAAAACCACTCGTTTACAAGATATTTCGAAAATGCAAAACATGTGGATTGACTCATTTATTATGTTTTTGTTAATTCCCTCTTGATTGTTAAATTATCTCGTTTAACAGCGGTTTTAACGCAAAAAGTCACGAGAAACTTTTTACTGCAAATTTCATGAAATTCAAAAAAGTTCTTACGACATTTCCCTCTAAAAGCACTCCTTCAGAAGATATTCTCAAAAAACAGATTATGAAAAATTTCACTCACTCCTGATGAATTAATTCTTCAATGTTTAATCGTCTTGCCAATGAATAATTCTAAATGAAAGTGTCAAAAAACATTTATTCTAAGAAAATGTGATCCTTAAGAAGAATATCCTTCGCCATTACCCTCGAAGAAACCTTGATTTCCGGGATAAACTGAAAATGCAAAAGGAGAATTTTTAAAAAAATCCATTGCTCTCTTGATTCTCTCCAAAAAATAGTTGCTGGACTCTACGAGTAACACCCCAAGATCTCAAGGATGGAGTGGGACTCTCTGGAAGGGTGAATCTCGTGACGAAAAACTCGAGAGATTGGGCCAGACTGTTCCACGTCTGGCGAAGCGTTCGGAAATTCTCCAGGATCGTTTGGAATGCACCAACGAGAATCTCCGAAGTGACGTTGAGCGTTGGAACATTGAGAAACAGTCCGAGATAAAGAATATGATGATGTCAATGGCCGACAGGCAAATTCAGCTGTACGAGGATTGCATGAAGAGCTGGGAAAACATTCTAGTCAATCTCAAGTTCGATGGGATGAGCCCTGACATAAAGCAAGTCGAGAAGGCTAAGATTTTAGCGTAAATTATTGGAAATATCTCGGTCTCAGTGTTTTTAATGTCACTTTTGTCCCATTCGGGGTGAATTTTCTCTTTCATTTGTGGAGAACACGAGGTGATGAGCTATTGGATCGACAGGCGAATCAATAAATGGGACCAAATGCCGAATGATGGATTGGAATTGATTACGATTGAAATATTGAATCACTGACTATCACTTTTAGTTGATAGTGACAGAGCTGGATTTAATGGGGAATTAAATACTTTAAGGCCCCGGTGTACTATCTTTCGAATGTTATCTGGATTTTTTTAATCTTTCGTAATCCGAAATTGTCAATTGAGTGGTACATCATGTAGAAATTTCCAAAAATTATGATAGAATGATTTAAAAAAATAGAAAAAATTCTGAACTTTTTTAAAGAGCGTTTTTAATTGAGATTCAGAATGAGTTGAAAAAAGTGGAAATTACAAATATCTGATTCGCTGTGGCAAATTATCTATTAGCTGTCATTTTCCATGGTGGATAACAAAACACTAACTCCTCATGGGAAGTGACAGCTAGGTATCTCAATTTTCAAAACAGTGGTATGTAGTCATCTGCCATTTTTATGTGATAAAAGTGTGATTAAAAAATTCTCCAAAATATAACAACTTTTTTCAAAGAGCCTTTTCCGTAATAAATGTCTCTGTGCAGTGTGGGAAAAGATTTACGAAATCAGTCTTCCCCCTGCATGATATTGGGTGACAGGCCGCCATTTGTCACCGTAAATCAGATACATTTTTCAATTTCTTGTTATTCAACTTATTCTGAATATAAATTAAAAATGCTCTTTGAAAAAATTAAGAATTTTTTCTACTTTTTTTTTATTATTCATTCATAATTTTTCAAAACCTCTGCATGATGCAGGACTTAATTGACAATTTCAGATGACGAGAGATTAAGAAAAACATCGAGGTAACGTTCGAAAGATAGTACACTCGGGCCTTAATTGAAGAAAAAATTACTCGATATAATTTTTACTCACAATAAAAATTAATTCACTTTTCTTTAGCGTCTCTTGTTCTTCGATGGAGTAGAGTAGGAAATGTAGATTTGATTGTTGAATTAATTATTGGGTATTCAGTGGTTGAAATGAAGTATCAGAATTCCAGCTCTGTATGGCATTACTTATGTTCTTAAATGTTTATATCACCGTTGCCAAATATTAGAATTCGTGTTGTTGCAAGAGTCGAGGGTGAAATAAAATAGATGTCTGATTCATTAATGACGAAATCAATTTCTTATTCCTCTCAGTCTGAGCGTAAACATAAGTCGTTATCTCACATCTCATTAGTAAATTTATAAATATCATTTTTTTTTCCTTAAATGAAGGCAATTCATAATTTATGACAATCTGGAAATTTGTCCATTCGTTTAAACTATTGTACTTCAATGATTGGAGAGTTGTGGATTATTCCACCGTACTTTCAGTCTGGGCCTGTCTCATCAGGTATTACAGTCATGTAGAGGGAGACCAAGTTATCCATGTCCAGAATTTGCACCAGTGAATCAGCTGGAAGTAACAAATTTTTCATTATTTACAATGTTTTTCCGTTTTTTAAAAATATTTTTTCTCTTATTTCTCTTTGAATAATCTGTTATTTTGTTTATTTTTTTGCAAAAATATTCAAAGAAAAAATCCAATATATTTCAGTTTGATATACTATTTGCATTTCACTGAAAAAAAAATTAATTTTGAGAACAATATTAAATTTTGATCTTTTTCTATGAATATTTCCATAAAAACTGGGCGGAATGACTTCTAAACTTTCTAAAAATGGACAAAAAATGCTAGAATTCCCAATAAATTTCAATATAATTCTTTAGTTAGACCTCAAGGTCCAGCAGATATTATTGAGACTCACTTGAGAACATTTTTTCAATTTCTACTTTAAAAAATCAGTAATCTCTTGGAAATTTTTCTACAAATATTCACAAAAAAAATTCAATACATTTCTTTTTGATATACCATCTGCATTTTACTGCAAAAAAAATTAAATGTTGAAAAACCATTGAATTTTAATCTTTTTCTACGAATATTTCTATAAAAACTGGGCGGAATGACTTCTAAACTTTCTAAAAATGGACAAAAAATGCTAGAATTCCCAATAAATTTCAATATAATTCTTTAGTTAGACCTCAAGGTCCAGCAGATATTATTGAGACTCACTTGAGAACATTTTTTCAATTTCTACTTTAAAAAATCAGTAATCTCTTGGAAATTTTTCTACAAATATTCACAAAAAAAATTCAATACATTTCTTTTTGATATACCATCTGCATTTTACTGCAAAAAAAATTAAATGTTGAAAAACCATTGAATTTTGATCTTTTTCTACGAATATTTCCATAAAAACTGGGCGGAATGTCTTTTAAACTTTCTAAAAATGGACAAAAAATGCTAGAATTCCCAATAAATTTCAATATAATTCTTTAGTTAGACCTCAAGGTCCAGCAGATATTATTGAGACTCACTTGAGAACATTTTTTCAATTTCTACTTTAAAAAATCAGTAATCTCTTGGAAATTTTTCTACAAATATTCACAAAAAAAATTCAATACATTTCTTTTTGATATACCATCTGCATTTTACTGCAAAAAAAATTAAATGTTGAAAAACCATTGAATTTTGATCTTTTTCTACGAATATTTCCATAAAAACTGGGCGGAATGTCTTTTAAACTTTCTAAAAATGGACAAAAAATGCTAGAATTCCCAATAAATTTCAATATAATTCTTTAGTTAGACCTCAAGGTCCAGCAGATATTATTGAGACTCACTTGAGAACATTTTTTCAATTTCTACTTTAAAAAATCAGTAATCTCTTGGAAATTTTTCTACAAATATTCACAAAAAAAATTCAATACATTTCTTTTTGATATACCATCTGCATTTTACTGCAAAAAAAATTAAATGTTGAAAAACCATTGAATTTTGATCTTTTTCTACGAATATTTCCATAAAAACTGGGCGGAATGTCTTTTGAACTTTCTAAAAATGGACAAAAAATAACGAAATCTTCAACGCATATCAATAAGACGCTGGTAAGACTCACTTGAGAAGCTCATTGAATGCTCTAGAAATCTCACAGGCCTTGCATAATGCTGATTACTCCTCTTCCTCAATAATGGCACTAGATAACGAGTAGGATTCCACAATGGGCTCGGTGTTGTCGACAGCTCCATTCCCCCATTCTTCCCTGACTTCTCTGTCATCGGGAGAATGTGAGTTATTTTGTATTGATTTGTATCGATGTTCCATATGTATTTGCAGCCTGCTTCGTACATTTTCCTCTCCTGCAGACTGTGGAAAACGAACATTAACACAGTTATTCATGAAATTTTCGTTTGGAAACAGTTCAATGGGTTCGAATGTTACCAATTTGGCTGTTTGCAGTACTCGCTGGCCTGGATTTTCATAATTAACAAACAAATAACATCTCCTGTTATTGAACACACGTCGATGATCTCTATGTCGTAATCACTGCAGTGCCAGTATTTTTTCTTGAATCTCCGACATATCCAATCAGCGATGTGATGCGAAAATGTCTCAATATCGAAACTAAATTGGTTTATCGATACGTGAGGTAATGCCTGAAATTAATTTGATTCAATACTTTTCATTCATTGGATACATCATTAATTTTTTCAATTGATTAGTTAATTAATTATAGCCCTTGATGTTGAAATCATGAAAGAAATGGTGATTCGTACAAAATCAAATTGAATTTCTTTAAAATTCGGTTTTAATCTGGAGAATATCTCGAAAACGACTGGTTTTAGAGAAAAATGTCTCTGATTCTTTTTTGTAGCTTATGAAATTCTCTACAAAAAATGGCTTCTGACATTTTCTCCTAAAATTAGAGGAAAGCATTATTTCATGCGTAAAATAATAAACAAAAACCGTCTGCAGATTTTATTAAATATCTCATGAACGAGTGGTTTCACGAGAAAATGTCTCTGAACCTTTTTTGTAGCTGACAAAATTTCTCACAAAAAATGTCTTATGATATTTTGCTCTGGCATTACTCGTTCACCGAGAAAATCAACTCATTCTGCTGGGCGTCACCCTTTCCCTTTAAAATTTGTGACAAATAGTGTGGAAAATGATAATTACCATTCTCTCGGCTTTACCATTACTAATCATCTGCATCTGCACGTAACCCGAGCCATGAACATGCATTGGAAGCACACATTGGTAGCTGACGTATCCCCCAGTCTCGTCATCCTCAACGTCAGTGATCACAGATATCATTTCGTCGTCGAGCTCAATGTAGCTCCTCTTAAAATGAGTTGTGCATTTTATCGTGGGCTGGGGGATGAAGGCCCTGGGCGCCAGGGGGGAATCATTGTGCGTCACTGTCATGTAGCGATCACGACAGAACATTATGTTGTACATTCGTTGGTTTAGGCTCAATGGTTGGAGGACTGTTTTTGCTGTTGGTAAAATCGAATGAAATTGTCAATTATTTACATTTTTCGTGTGAAGCTGAAACTAGCGGAATAATCGTCAGCGGAAAATTCAATTTAGGGGATATTCAAGTGTAGGAGAGTCAAATAACCATATGTACAAATGGTTTTTAAGTGCGAAAGGGTGTGTACATTATTTGAAAACATTTGCACACCCCTAAATTCGCCTCAGACCAGGGATCCCCATATTAAATTTCTGTAATGTTACAAGAATTTGACCCCTACATTAATAATGAAGGTTTAAAAAATAGTTTTTAAGTGCGAAAGGGTGTGTAGATTATTTGAAAACATTTGCACACCCCTAAATTCGCCTCAGAGCAGGGGATCCCCATATTAAATTTCTGTAATGTTACAAGAATTTGACCCCTACATTAATAATGAAGGTTTAAAAAATGGTTTTTAAGTGCGAAAGGGCGTGTACATTATTTGAAAACATTTGCACACCCCTAAATTCGCCTCAGAGCAGGGGATCCCCATATTAAATTTCTGTAATGTTACAAGAATTTGACCCCTACATTAATAATGAAAGTTTAAAATATGTTGATTCAATTTTCCAAATAATATAACATTAATGGTGGCTTAAGGAATGGTTTCGATTTTTATGATTATTTTTCCAAATTTTGAATTTTTCTTCAAATATGATTTTGAGGTTTTAATGAATATCTCGAAATCCAAAGGAGATAACAAAATTTTTCCCATGACCATTTTCGTAAATGAATGCAATTGAAGAACATTTCAGATTACAAAAATAAAAAAAACAGCCCAGATCACGTTCGAAAGAAAATAAACGCGGGTCTTAAATTAATAATGAAATAAGTAATTAATTCAGCAGTCAAGTGG